AAAAAAAAAAAAAAAAAAAAAAAAGTTTATGAGAATGATATTCAACTCAATAGAATGTTATTTTAAAGGTAGTTATTTGAACTATGCATAAACAAGAAAGCATTTATGCTATGTTAATATTAAATGTTAAAATCAAAAATACATACTCAGGGTAAAGATAACTTTGTTTTATTCATAGTCAATAATTGCAAGGAAGCCTGCAGAAATGAATATAACAAATGGGGGTGGGGATATAGCTCAGCAGCACACTGCCTGCCTGAGTGTGGTTTCCAGTGTGAGAGACAGACAGACAGACAGACAGACAGACAGACAGACAGACAAAAACTTTTGCCCATTCTTAAATTTTTATTATTGTTATACTGTAAACATAACAACTTCAAGTAACCAAAGTAGAAATCTTTTGTTCTCGTAGAGCTTCAGCTCATAAGATACTTTTTTGTTTCCACAGAAAATATTCATTTAATGCTAATTCAGGGATTTTTGACTGACTTAAACAAGCCCCCCCAAATTCTGCTTTAACATTTACTAGCTACACAACATGGGTAAGTTCTTTCCAAGTTCAGTTACCTCATGAACCAAATGTTAACACTGATAATACTACCTGCTGTGCACGAGGGCTAGGAGGAATAAACAGGCTGAGGTTCCGGGGACCCTGGCGTAGCATCTGGCATGTTCTAGGGTCTCCACAGATGACAGCCAATAGCACCATCTTCTCCTCCCTCTCTACATTCCTAGCAACTAATCCAATCAAAAATGCCTGCCCCTTCTCTGGAAGTCCTGGCACCAAGCAATCCTGAATCACGTTTGCGGGCGTCCTCCATGCAATCTGAGTATAAAGAAGCCAAGAGCCTCAAGTGCCGCTAGACTGAAGGAAGAAACTGGTCTCTTCACCTCTCACACCCCAGTTCCTGCACGACACCCACCACATGGCTCCCCACTCCAAAGGAGATGCATATTCTGTATTTCCTTGGCAACCGATAGATGTTTTCAAAGGAGCAAGACTGTTATTAGGCAGAAAAGGAGAGCATTTAATGTATAGTTTACTTTTATTTTTAATTCAATAGGATGGAAGACTGCCAAGGTCTTTCACACACACCTGAATTCAAATTAGGGAATAGTCCAACAGAGATAACCTAAATTCTGATTTTAAAAGCAGTCTTAAGGTTTCTGCTGATTATATATACCCCATGTCATTAAGTATACACTTAATTTTTTTTTTTTTTTTTTTGTCTTTTTGAGACATAATCTCACTATGCAGATTAGGCTGGCCTTGAATTTACTTTGTAGCCTAGGCTGGTCTCAAATTCACAGCAATCCTCCTGCCCCAGCCTCCTGAGTGCTGGGATTACAAGCATGCACCACCATACCCAGCCTCTTATTTCTTTAAATTGAGTTTCACAAACCTAAAAATCTCTAGTTGAAGGATGCAGTGCATAACCATACCTCAGGGACGAGAAGGACTGGGATCCCCAACTCACCAGCAGCACTTCCCACTGTAGCTGTAACCTGGCCGTGCTCCAAGGAGCTGCATCTCTGAGTTTAAAAAAAAAAAATCTCCTCCCCAACTCTACTCCAAAAACTCTCCCAGGACCTTAGGAAAAGGAGCTGAGAAAATAAGCCCCATTTCTCCAAGAATCTGTGGCTCCCAGGAGGAAACGGGGTCCTAAGCAGAGCCCAGGCTCTGATTCCCAGCTCAACATTCTCAGCCTCGCCATACTGACTTCATGGACTGACGGCATACACTCTGCCTGTCCCTGGGCTGACAGATCTGACAAACTATTCACTGCCACAGCAAGGGACATGGGGAAGTCCCTTGAGAATAGAGCCCTGTCTCTGACCCAATTCAGGAGGAAATGGAAAATAGAGTTTATTTATATTTTCTACTCATCTGAGGCTCACGTAGGTTTTCTAGACAGGCCCGTTGCCAGAATGTTTCAAAATTTTCTGCTTTCAACCTATGTCTCGTGAAGCACAAATGCCTGGGCCAAACCAAAAAAGTGAAATTGAAGCTGCTGTTACATGACAGCTCTTTGACACCGTACTCCCAAGGAAGAGAGAAACTTAATTCATTTACTCCGATTTGTGAAAACTGGGAGAGGAGACTTGATTTAGAAAGGTGAATATAGAGACTGGGCGTGGTGGCGTGCACCTGAAATCCCAGCTCTTGGGAGGCTGTAAACAGGCGAATCACTATGAGTCCGATCTAGTAGTGAGACCCTTGAACACCCTGGAGACCCTCCTCTAAAATACAAAAAATACAAACCATATAACCGTGATTCTGGTCTGATCACATTTTTAAATTTTTATTTCTTTATTTTTATTAATACATATCTGAAGTACCTAGTGATTACATTTACCGAGGGGAGTTTGCACATGTG